CAGAGACCCATAGACCTCTGTGGGTTGTTTGTTGTATTTCTTTGTTGTTGTGACGTTCTGACCCCGTGCCCCTACTGGACAATCTGTAAAAAATGAAAAGAGCTTTATAGCTCATCGGATTCCTCCCGCAGTGTAAATAAACAAACTACAACCCAGGGTATCTTCAGCCCCGGCGAGTTACCGTTGCTACACACGAGGGATAATCCGTCGAGACGGCGCCCTGGGTATTTACTTATTTTATAATAACTGAGCTACGTGAGGTGTGAGCGAAGACAAACATCCGCCCGTGTAGCCTCAACAAACTGTTGGGGCCCAGCGCTGTTAGCGAGCAGCAGCAGCAGCAGCTATGAAGGTCGGAACGGCACACGATTGGATGGATGTCTCTCCGGTGCCGATGATTGCACACCGCACCAGGTACTCATTTGAGGCTGAGTCGACCTAGGGGAGGCGATGTTGTTGCTGCTGCTGTGTGGTCTAGTCTAGGGGCACCCCCAGTGGCAGCTGTCCCTCACACCCCTCACCACCCCTCCCCTCACCACCCCTCACACCCCTCCCCTCGCCCCCCTCACACCCCTCACACCCCTCCCCTCACCACCCCTCACCCCCCTCCACTCACCCCCCTCACACCCCTCCCTCACCACCCTTCACCCCCCTCCACTCACCCCCCTCACACCCCTCCCTCACCCTGTTCACCAGCACGCGCACAGACTCAGGGCTGGGCACATTTACCTGAGAGAGAGAGAGTGGCTCATCTGTGTGAGTCTATGGGTCTCTGTGTGAGTCTATAGGTCTCTGTGTAAGTCTATGGGTCACTGTGTAGGTCTATGGGTCTATGTGTGAGTCTATGGGCCTCTGTGTAGGTCTATGGGTCTCTGTGTAAGTCTATGGGTCTCTGTGTAGGTCTATGGGCCTCAGTGTGAGTCTATGGGTCTCTATGTAGGTCTATGGGTCTCTGTGCAGGTCTATGGGTCTCTGTGTAGGTCTATGGGTCTTTGTGCAGGTCTATGGGTCTCTGTGTAGATCTTTGGGTCTCTATTTAAGTCTATGGATCTCTGTGTGAGTCTATGGGTCTCTGTGTAGGTCTGTGGGTCTCTGTGTAAGTCTATGCGTCTCTGTGTGGGTCTATGCGTCTCTGTGTAGTTCTATGCGTCTCTGTGTGGGTCTATGGGTCTCTGTGTAGGTCTATGGGTCTCTGTGTGAGTCTATAGGTCTCTGTGTGAGTCTATGCGTCTCTGTGTGGGTCTATGGTTCTCTGTGTGGGTCTATGGGTCTATGTGTGAGTCTATGGGCCTCTGTGTAGGTCTATGCGTCTCTGTGTGGGTCTATGGTTCTCTGTGTGAGTCTATGGGTCTCTGTGTGAGTCTGTGCGTCTCTGTGTGGGTCTATAGGTCTCTGTGTAGGTCTATGGGTCTCTGTGTGAGTCTATGCGTCTCTATTTGGGTCTATGGGTCTCTGTGTGGGTCTATGGGTCTCTGTGTGAGTCTATGGTTCTCTGTTTGAGTCTATGGGTCTCTGTGTGAGTCTATAGCTCTCTGTGTAGGTCTATGCGTCTCTGTGTGGGTCTATGGTTCTCTGTGTGAGTCTATGGGTCTCTGTGTGAGTCTATGCGTCTCTGTGTGGGTCTATGGGTCTCTGTGTGGGTCTATGGGTCTCTGTGTGAGTCTATGGTTCTCTGTTTGAGTCTATGGGTCTCTGTGTGAGTCTATAGGTCTCTGTGTAAGTCTATGGGTCTCTGTGTAGGTCTATGGGTCTAGGTGTGAGTCTATGGGCCTCTGTGTAGGTCTATCGGTCTCTGTGTAAGTCTATGGGTCTCTGCGTAGGTCTATGGGTCTCTGTGTGAGTCTATGGGTCTCTGTGTAGGTCTATGGGTCTCTGTGCAGGTCTATGGGTCTCTGTGTAGGTCTATGGGTCTTTGTGCAGGTCAATGGTCTCTCTGTAGATCTTTGGGTCTCTATATAAGTCTATGGGTCTCTGTGTGAGTCTATGGGTCTCTGTGTAGGTCTATGGGTCTCTGTCTAAGTCTATGGGTCTCTGTGTAAGTCTATGGGTCTCTCTGTAGGTCTATGGGTCTCTGTGTAGGTCTATGGGTCTCTGTGTGAGTCTATGGGTCTCTGTGTGAGTCTATGGGTATCTGTGTAGGTCTATGGGTCTCTGTGTAGGTCTATGGGTCTCTGTGTAAGTCTATGGGTCTCTGTGTAGGTCTATGGGTCCTTGTGCAGGTCTATGGGTCTCTGTGTAGATCTATGGGTCTCTGTGTAAGTCTATGGGTCTCTGTGTAGGTCTATGGGTCTCTGTGTAGGTCTATGGGTCTCTGTGTAGGTCTATGGGTCTCTGTGTGAGTCTATGGGTCTCTGTGTAAGTCTATGGGTCTCTGTGTAAGTCTATGGGTCTTTGTGCAGGTCTATGGGTCTTTGTACAGGTGCATGGATCTCTGTGTAAGTCTATGGGTCTCTGTGCAAGTCTATGGGTCTTGTTGTAGATCTATGGGTCTCTGTGTAAGTCTATGGATCTCTGTGTAAGTCTGTGGGTCTCTGTGCAAGTCTATGGGTCTTTTTGTAGTTCTATGGGTCTCTGTGTAAGTCCATGGGTCTCTGTGTAGGTCTATGGGTCTCTGTGTAGGTTTATGGGTCTCTGTGTGAGTCTATGGGTCCTTGTGCAGGTCTATGGGTCTCTGTGTAGATCTATGGGTCTCTGTGTAAGTCTATGGGTCTCTGTGTAGGTCTATGGGTCTCTGTGTAGGTTCATGGGTCTCTGTGTGAGTCTATGGGTCTCTGTGTATGTCTATTAGTCTCTGTGTAGGTCTATGGGTCTTTGTGCAGGTCTATGGGTCTCTGTGTAGATCTATGGGCCTCTGTGTAAGTCTATGGGTCTCTGTGTGAGTCTATGGGTCTCTGTGTAGGTCTATGGGTCTCTGTGTAGGTCTATGGGTCTCTGTGTAGGTCTATGGGTCTCTGTGTAGGTCTATGGGTCTCTGTGTAAGTCTATGGGTCTCTGTGTAGGTCTATGGGTCTCTGTGTAAGTCTATGGGTTTCTGTGTAGGTCTATGAGTCTCTGTGTAGGTCTATGGGTCTCTGTGTGAGTCTATGGGTCTCTGTGTAGGTCTATGGGTCTCTGTGTGAGTCTATGGGTCTCTGTGTAGGTCTACGGGTCTCTGTGTGAGTCTATGGGTCTCTGTGTAGGTCTATGGGTCTCTGTGTGAGTCTATGGGTCTCTGTGTAGGTCTATGGGTCTCTGTGTGAGTCTTTGAGTATGAGCTCGTGGCGTGCGACCTCGAACGTGCGGCTATCGGCAAACACGCCTCGCCGATGACTCGGTATTATATTTATTTTCACCATGGTATTATATTTAATGCCACGGTATTACATTTAGATATTTAGATATATGTACGTTGGCGAGAACTCGCGGGCGCGGGGAGGGCCCGTTACGCGTTTCTTCTTTAGTTTCTACACTTCTGGGAACTTCCATTCAACGCAAGATTTCCCCGACACGTCGACTCACGCTCGCTCCGTGAAGCCGCGTCAACACGCATCTGAGACCGCTCTTGCTTGGTTTGTCGCTCGCGATTTTACCCGCGGTCTGAGAGGAGGTGGAACGAATCGCATAACCACCGCCACGTTGCGTGCATTGCCAATCTCGGCTTGGTTTCGTCCTGTCGGCTTCCCGAGAGATGCTCACGGCCGCGACGATCCTTGACTTGCGATCTGCCAAATGTCGTGGCAGAGGCGCGTCCCCCGAGCAAACGATTGCAGGGCCGCGCCTCTAGCTGCGCTGCCGAAACCACCAAGGCGAGGCCACGGGACGTTTCGCGCCGCTACCCTGGTACGGGAACGGCGGTGGCGGTGGTGGTGGCGATGGTGGCGGCGTTTGGTGGTGAGTTTGGTGGTGAGTTTGGTGGTGAGTTCGGTGGTTAGTTTGGTGGTGAGTTCGGTGGGGAGTTCGGTGGTGAGTTTGGTGGCGAGATTGGTGGTGAGTTTGGTGGTAAGTTTGGTGGTGAGTTCGGTGGTGAGTTTGGTGGTGAGTTTGGTGGTGAGTTCGGTGGTGATTTTGGTGGCGGAGTTTGGTGGTGAGCTTGGTGGTGAGTTTGGTGGTGAGTTTGGTGGTGAGTTCGGTGGTGAGTTCGGTGGTGAGTTCGGTGGTGAGTTTGGTAGTGAGTTCGGTGGTGAGTTTGGTGGTGAGTTTGGTGGTGAGTTTGGTGGTGAGTTTGGTGGTGAGTTCGGTGGTGAGTTCGGTGGTGAGTTCGGTGGTGAGTTTGGTGGTGAGTTTGGTGGTGAGTTTGGTGGTGAGTTCGGTGGTGAGTTTGGTGGTGAGTTTGGTGGTGAGTTTGGTGGTGAGTTTGGTGGTGAGTTTGGTGGTGAGTTCGGTGGTGAGTTCGGTGGTGAGTTTGGTGGTGAGTTTGGTGGTGAGTTTGGTGGTGAGTTCGGTGGTGAGTTTGGTGGTGAGTTCGGTGGTGAGTTCGGTGGTGAGTTCGGTGGTGAGTTCGGTGGTGAGTTTGGTGGTGAGTTTGGTGGTGAATTTGGTTGTTTGGGGAGCGTGGCGGTCAGCGCGCTGGGCTCACGACCCCTCGAGTTCGATTGCCTCCCACGGCCACCGATGCTGCTGATGGCGGATATCGTAACCCCGGTCGTGGGCCTCCCCTAGGTCGACTCAGCCTCAAGTGAGCACCTGGTGCGGTGTGTAGTGAACTCTCGCCACCGGGGGGACAAAGGCGGCCTGGCGTGCTGCTGGCCACCCAACACATCCACCCGTTTAGTGCGCCGTGCCTGCCTGCATCGATGCAAACTCGCTAACAGCAATCGCTCGCGACCAGTCTGTTACAGGCTACACGTCCTCCGGGGATAGCTGTCTCTGCTGAGTTTGGTGGACCGAAGTTTCAAGCTCATCACTCAGCAGCTCTGGTGGTTGAAGTTCATGGGAAGGGGGAGGGAGGTTAGGGCGGAGTAGAGAGGTAGGGGGGGGGGCTATAATTGTTGACCACCGAACAGGAACGCAGAGCCGATGACTCACTTCGGCGCCGAGAGGATCCCGTTGATTTGATCTGCTGAACACACGACGACCGTGATTGCTGGGCTGCTGTAGGGGACAGCAGGAGTAGGGTGGAGGTGGTTGGGCTGCTGTAGGGGACAGCTGGAGTAGGGTGGAGGTGGCTGGGCTGCTGTAGGGGACAGCTGGAGTAGGGTGGAGGTGGCTGGGCTGCTGTAGGGGACAGCCGGAGTAGGGTGGAGGTGGCTGGAGTGCTGTAGGGGACAGCCGGAGTAGGGTGGAGGTGGTTGGGGTGCTGTAGGGGACAGCCGGAGTAGGGTGGAGGTGGCTGGGCTGCTGTAGGGGACAGCCGGAGTAGGGTGGAGGTGGCTGGAGTGCTGTAGGGGACAGCCGGAGTAGGGTGGAGGTGGCTGGGGTGCTGTAGGGGACAGCTGGAGTAGGGTGGAGGTGGCTGGGCTGCTGTAGGGGACAGCCGGAGTAGGGTGGAGGTGGCTGGGGTGCTGTAGGGGACAGCTGGACTCGGGTGGAGGTGGTTGGGCTGCTGTAGGGGACAGCTGGAGTAGGGTGGAGGTGGCTGGGCTGCTGTAGGGGACAGCTGGAGTAGGGTGGAGGTGGCTGGGCTGCTGTAGGGGACAGCCGGAGTAGGGTGGAGGTGGCTGGAGTGCTGTAGGGGACAGCCGGAGTAGGGTGGAGGTGGTTGGGGTGCTGTAGGGGACAGCTGGAGTAGGGTGGAGGTGGCTGGGCTGCTGTAGGGGACAGCCGGAGTAGGGTGGAGGTGGCTGGGGTGCTGTAGGGGACAGCTGGACTCGGGTGGAGGTGGTTGGGCTGCTGTAGGGGACAGCGGAGTAGGGTGGAGGTGGCTGGGCTGCTGTAGGGGACAGCAGGAGTAGGGTGGAGGTGGCTGGGCTGCTGTAGGGGACAGCTGGAGTAGGGTGGAGGTGGCTGGGCTGCTGTAGGGGACAGCTGGAGTAGGGTGGAGGTGGCTGGGCTGCTGTAGGGGACAGCTGGAGTAGGGTGGAGGTGGTTGGGCTGCTGTAGGGGACAGCTGGAGTAGGGTGGAGGTGGCTGGGCTGCTGTAGGGGACAGCCGGAGTAGGGTGGAGGTGGCTGGGCTGCTGTAGGGGACAGCTGGAGTAGGGTGGAGGTGGCTGAGCTGCTGTAGGGGACAGCCGGAGTAGGGTGGAGGTGGCTGGAGTGCTGTAGGGGACAGCCGGAGTAGGGTGGAGGTGGCTGGGGTGCTGTAGGGGACAGCCAGACTCGGGTGAAGGTGGCTGGGGTGCTGTTGGGGACAGCAGGAGTAGGGTGGAGGTGGCTGGGGTGCTGTAGGGGACAGCTGGAGTAGGGTGGAGGTGGCTGGGCTGCTGTAGGGGACAGCAGGACTAGGGTGGAGGTGGCTGGGGTGCTGTTGGGGACAGCAGGAGTAGGGTGGAGGTGGCTGGGGTGCTGTAGGGGACAGCAGGACTCGGGTGGAGGTGGCTGGGGTGCTGTAGGGGACAGCCGGAGTAGGGTGGAGGTGGCTGGGGTGCTGTAGGGGACAGCTGTAGTAGGGTGGAGGTGGCTGGGCTGCTGTAGGGGACAGCAGGAGTAGGGTGGAGGTGCGCTGGGCTGCTGTAGGGGACAGCAGGAGTAGGGTGGAGGTGGCTGGGCTGCTGTAGGGGACAGCCGGAGTAGGGTGGAGGTGGTTGGGCTGCTGTAGGGGACAGCTGGACTCGGGTGAAGGTGGCTGAGCTGCTGTAGGAGACAGCAGGAGTAGGGTGGAGGTGGCTGGGCTGCTGTAGGGGACAGCTGGACTCGGGTGAAGGTGGCTGAGCTGCTGTAGGGGACAGCAGGAGTAGGGTGGAGGTGGCTGGGCTGCTGTAGGGGACAGCAGGACTCGGGTGGAGGTGGTTGGGGTCCTGTTGGGGACAGCAGGAGTAGGGTGGAGGTGGCTGGGCTGCTGTAGGGGACAGCCGGAGTAGGGTGGAGGTGGTTGGGCTGCTGTAGGGGACAGCTGTAGTAGGGTGGAGGTGGCTTGGGCTGCTGTAGGGGACAGCTGGACTCGGGTGGAGGTGGCTGGGCTGCTGTAGGGGACAGCAGAAGTAGGTTGGAGGTGGCTTGGGCTGCTGTAGGGGACAGCTGGACTCGGGTGGAGGTGGCTGGGCTGCTGTAGGGGACAGCAGGAGTAGGGTGGAGGTGGCTGGGCTGCTGTAGGGGATAGCTGGACTCGGGTGGAGGTGGCTGGGGTGCTGTAGGGGACAGCAGGACTCGGGTGGAGGTGGCTGGGGTGCTGTAGGGGATAGCCGGACTCGGGTGGAGGTGGCTGGGGTGCTGTAGGGGATAGCCGGACTCGGGTGGAGGTGGCTGGGGTGCTGTAGGGGATAGCCGGACTCGGGTGGAGGTGGCTGGGCTGCTGTAGGGGATAGCCGGACTCGGGTGGAGGTGGCTGGGGTGCTGTAGGGGATAGCCGGACTCGCGTGGGCAGGACACGGCCTGAAGAGGATCTCGTGGCATCAAACGGCCTCTTCGGAGAATGAACGCAGTGAGTATTGTTCCCTCTCGTTTGCATTGTTCCGTCTCGTTTGTATTGTTCCCTCTCGTTTGTATTGTTCCGTCTCGTTTGTATTGTTCCCACTCGTTTGTATTGTTCCGTCTCGTTTGTATTGTTCCGTCTCGTTTGTATTGTTCCCTCTCGTTTGTATTGTTCCCTCTCGTTTGTATTGTTCCGTCTCGTTTGTATTGTTCCGTCTCGTTTGTATTGTTCCGTCTCGTTTCTATTGTTCCGTCTCGTTTCTATTGTTCCGTCTCGTTTCTATTGTTCCGTCTCGTTTGTATTGTTCTGTCTCATTTGTATTGTTCCGTCTCGTTTGTATTGTTCCGTCTCGTTTGTATTGTTCTGTCTCGTTTGCATTGTTCCGTCTCGTTTCTATTGTTCTGTCTCGTTTCTATTGTCCTGTCACGTTTGTATTGTTCTGTCTCGTTTGTATTGTTCCGTCTCGTTTGTATTGTTCTGTCTCGTTTGTATTGTTCTGTCTCGTTTCCATTGTTCCGTCTCGTTTGTATTATTGTGTCTCGTTTGTATTGTTCCGTCTCGTTTGTATTGTTCTGTCTCGTTTGCATTGTTCTGTCTCGTTTGTATTGTTCCGCCTCGTTTCTATTGTTCCGTCTCGTTTGTATTGTTCCGTCTCGTTTGTATTGTTCTGTCTCGTTTCTATTGTTACGTCACGTTTGTATTGTTCCATCTTGTTTGTATTGTTCTGAGCACAAATCAGATTTGAAACACGGCAGAACGAATTCTTCTGCCGTAGCTGATCACTGTTACAACACTGTGGGTGATCACGATATAATTTTCTCCGATACCAAGGTTCTTTGCAAACCCACGGGTTTTTATCAGAGATTTGTTCACGAGGCAATTCAGATTTACAAACAGAGGCACAATTTCAACCGAGAGGATGGTTTCAAATTAAGCAACCATTGGAAAGATGTTTTGAATCAAACCAAACATTAAACTAATTTTCAATGGTACAGTATATTTTTTTCAAGTAGTGGTATCCCAAACTTTCGCAGCTGCTTAAATTCCCTTTTCACACCATCAATATGTAAACTCCCCCTCCCCCCCTTGCCGGTCTGCACATGCTCCCCCCCTCTACACCGTTCATCATGCTAAGTCCGCCAATTAAATGCTAATTTTTATGCTAATTCCTTTATCAAGGCGCTCTGCTTCCCCTCACACAGCTTAACAGTCGCGGTCTGAGCTTGGCTGTGTTCACTCCAGCGCTGTCCTCTAGACAGTCTGGTCCCTTCACCTGATGAAGGCCGCTTGTGTTGTGGCCGAAACGTCGTAAAAAAATTTATTTTTTTACGTGACTTTACCGAATAGAACCAACGAGTATTGTTCTGTCTCGTTTGTATTCTGTTTTATTTGTGCCATTAAGCCGCATGTCCATTACGATAAACGTGCATGACATTGAGCACCGCCGAGGTGAGATGTTAACTACCTCGCCTCGTATGCAGGAGCCTCTGGGTTCGATCCCAACCCTGACGCCTGAATATTTGCAGTTGGCGGTGTCTCTCTCAATGTGGTCGTGTGGATTTTTCGAGGATTTGGCTGCTATAAATGTCCACGTGATGATGATAAGCCACTTCGTTGAGCTATCATCTGTGGCCAGGACGATCCTGAAAAAGAGGTACACAGCTCAGTCGACGCCTTTCTGGGATTGTAGTCACACGTGGGAGTAAACCGGGGTAGCCGGAGAAAGCCCACACGTGCGATGGGGGTAACAAAACAACTTTCCTCAACTCTCCCATCTCCATGTTTCTCCCACTCCCCCATCTCTTCCACTCCCCCATCTCTGCCACCTCCCCGTCTCTCCCCCATCTCTCCCTCATCTCTACCCACCTCCCTGGCTCTCCCCATCTCTGCTCCTTCTCTCCCACTCCCCCATCTCCCCCATCTCTGCCACCTCCCCGTCTCTCCGCCATCTCTCCCCCACCTCCCCCATCTATCACACATCTCTTCCTCATCTCTCCCACCTTCCCCCGTCTCTCTCCGTCCGCCCCCTGCTCTCCCCCGGGCGGAGCAGCCCAACTCGACGTTGGCACCTTCCCCATCCCCGCCTCCCACCGCTGCTCCCCCCGCCGCGGGCAGCGCGTGCGGCGCCCGCTCCTGCGTCCCGTTCGCGGCTCGCGCCTGCCTCATGGTGTCCGTGGCGGCCGCCCTCACGTGCGCCCACGTGCTCTGCGCGTGGGCGCTGCGTGCCCTGGGCGCCTCTACCGCGGCGAAGCCTCCGCCTCCACCGCCTCCGCCTCCACCGCCTCCACCGCCTCCGCCGCCTCCGTCGCGCCTCGCTCGCCGCGCCCTGCTGGTCGAGGCGATGGCCGTGGAGGCGCTGGCGGCGTCCGCCCGCGCCCTCCTCTACGCCGCGGTGCTGGTGGCGGAGCGCGGCGCCGGCGACGGCCACGAGCTGCCGCGCGCCCTCTGCACCGCCTTCTCGCTGCTGCGCGTCGTCGCCGCCTGCACGGGCGCCTGCGGCGCCGGGCTCGCCGCGGCGGAGAGCGGCGCCCGTTTCGCGTGCCGCACGTCGCGCTACCGGGCGCTCTTCGCTCCGCGGGGCCTCGTCGCGATGCTGGCGCTCAAGTGGCTCGGCTCCACGCTGCTGCTGCTGCTGCTGCTGTTCCTGCTGCCGCCGTCGTCGTCCGCGTGGTCCGGAGGCGACGGCTGCTCCGCGGCCTCGGTGCAGGCGGAGAGCGACGATCCGGCGCCACCGCTCAGCGTGCTGCCGGTGGCCACCGCGGTGACGCTGAGCGGCGCGGCCGTCGTCGGCAGCTACGTCGCCGTCCGCCTGTCCCGGGGGCCCGGCGGCGGCGGCGGCGGCTCGTCGAGGGCCGCTCGCCGGGCCATCGCGGCCAGCGGCATCCAGGTTGGGCTCTACGCGCTCTCGGCCTCCGTGGCCCAGCTGCGTCGCACATTCGGCGCGCTGCTGCGCGAACCGGCGCACGAGGTGGCGGCGTACGCGGCCGCCGCCATCGTCATGGTGGCCAACAACTTCATGCCGGTGCTGCAGGCCTTCAGCTCGGCCAAGTTCAGGCGGGCCCTGCTCGGGGCGCTGCGCCCGCCCTGGCCGCGCCGTCGCGGCCGCGAGGAACCCCGAGCGGCGCCGGCGGCGGGGGCCGCAGAGCCGGTGCCGTGGCTCGGACGCCTCCCCGGGATTGGCGGCCGGGAGGAGGAGGAGGAGGAGGAGGAGAGCACCGCGCTGTGAGCCCACTGGTTTCCTCCGGCGGATGTGACTGCTGGAACTCTTTCTTCTGTTGCTGGGTTCTTTTCAGTTTTGTTTCCCCACTGGTACAGCCGAGCCGAGCCAGCCGCAGTGTGACGTGGTTCGGGAGGTGTGCCGGGGCGTTGTTGTTGTTGTTATTTTGTTGGGGGGTTTTTTCCTTTTTTTCCATTGAGGAAGCCGAGCCGTGCCGTGCCGTGACGTCGCACGAGTGGTGAACGAGCGAAGACGCGCGCGTCGGTGACGCCGAACACCTCACCGCGGTACCGAGTGACATCACGCGTGCGTTCGTTAATCGAGACGCATGTCGGAGAATTCGCCTTGAGTGGGGGGATATCTTTATTGTTGTTGTTGTTGTTTTGAAGAAATTCGACGCAGCGAACGTGCTGTGTTAATGTTGTCACTGTCGGCCGCCGCGTCCAATTCAAAGGTAAAAATTCCCAATGCACCGCATGCGTCGTTGTTGAGCCTCCCTTCTGTGACCTCCCAACTGTGGCGATGACACCGATGCCTCCCTTTCTCCACTGCGCAACCGAACCGTGCCGGGCCACCCGCCCCTGGCGCTGCTTGACCCCGAGGCCCAGCGAGTCATGGGTACGTTGCGGCTCGGCTCGGTAAAAAAAAAAAAACACCCATGCGTGGCCTCGCACAGCTCAGACGTGCACGCGCCAGAGATAGGAGAATGGGGTACAAGAGGAGGCGTTCATGACGACAATTCTCGTGATGATTTGTTTTGGTGTAAAACTGTGGAGCCCGTGAAGGAAACACCACGGGAAGGGCAGTCGAGTCAGTGGCGCAAAAGAGCAGCAGACAGGGAGGGGGGGGAAGGCCCAGGACGGACAAAGAGGAAGGCACGGCTCAAGGAGTGGGTGGTGCAGGAAAGGGAGGAGGAATGGCTCCCTCGTGTCCGTGTGAGACTGTGGGTCTCCGTGTGAGTCTATGGGTATCTGGGTAAGTCTATGGGCCTCTGGGTGAGTCTATGGGTCTCTGTGTGAGTCAGTCTCTGTGTGAGTCTATGGGTCTCTGTGTGAGTTGGTGAGTCTATGGGTATCTGGGTAAGTCTATGGGTCTTTGTGTGAGTCTATGGGTCTCTGTGTGAGTTGGTGAGTCTATGGGTATCTGGGTAAGTCTATGGGTCTATGTGTGAGTCTATGGGTCTCCACGTGAGACCGACTCAATAACTTCCAGAGATTGGCTGCACTCCTGATCCTCGCCACTTCGTCTGCACACTGTCGCAACTCTGGTCAATCTAAAGCACAGTAGTAGTGATTGACTTTCACGACCGATATTATCCTTAAGAGGTTTTTGGGGGGTGGGGGCGGTGGAGGGGGTTAGATCACGTAAATATACAAATCTGTCGTTAAACCCGCCACCACCCGACACAGCCAATCAGTAAGGTTTGTCAGTAAACAAAACTTGCCCAATTAGTTAACTAGTTCAGCACTAACCTCTTGTGTGTCGGAGAGTAAAACCCACGACAACATTTACAATTCGAGTAGCCGTGACGTTTTGCCGGTAATTACAACAATGACAACAACCACCAGCAGCAGCATCAGGCGACAGCCACAGAATTATGGAGAAATTCTCCTCCTGCTTCCGTCTTTAATAAGAGGTTGGGGTTAAATGTGACGTCATCACTTGTGAGCCAATCAGGTGCGAAGCCCAGAGAGCGGGGGGCGGGGTGGGTTAATGTATTCATATAATTGACAATTGGATATCTAATAATAGTTGGGTTATTCACAGTTAATCAACGTACATAACGTACATGCGGGGCTCCGTATGTGCGGTGATCAATCCGGGATATGGAAAGCAACTGCTCACCAGGGTAGGGTTCAGTGGTCGCACTGACAGAGACTTAAAGGAGACTCAAAGTATAAACAGACAGATAGATAGACTTAAAGACGGAAGCTTAAAGGAGTAGCATCACGTGAGTCAGCTTCTGTGTGAGTCTGTGTATGGGTAAGCCTGTGGGTTTGTGTATACACCGATGGGTCTTTGCACGAGTCCGTAGTGAGTCTGTGGATCTTCTACGTTAGAGACCCACAGACTCAATAACTTCCAGACAACGGCTGCACCCTAAAGCCTCACCGCTCCTGGCCTCCGTACGTGCGGTGACCAATCCGGGAGATGGGGGAGCGGCTGCTGACCAGGGAAGGGACCAAAGGTCGCACTGCGCGGAGACTTAAAGAAGTATCGGCGCGGTGCGGGGTGGGTGGAGGAGGAAGCGTGGCCGCAGTGGTCACGAGGAGGAGGAGGAGGAGACACGCGCTGGTGAAGAGACAGCGGCAAGAGCCATGAGTCGAGGTACGAACACCGCGCCCGCTGGGTCGGGAGATCTCGCGCAGGCGGAGGGAGGTTCGCCGCTTGCTGCGCGAGGGCTGCCGATTAGGGGGCAGGGGGGGCAGGGGGGGGCAGGGGGCGTGGGGGCAGGGGGGGGGATTATTGAAGTATTTTGGTTTCCCTAACCGGTGGTCAGTCATCTCCATGCCACTCTTCTGTCGCTACTATCGTGGTTCGCTGTCAGCTCCAATCGTTGATTTCATATACCCCGTGGTGAGAACTCGGTCCCGACCAGACACAGCGACTGCCTCATTCCGTGTTGTGTTAAACCACCATACGCCGATTCACAATAATTCACAAACCCACTCGCTCACTCATTCACGCCACGACCCATCCGCTCACACAGTCATTCACTCAACCACCCGATCACTCACGCATTCGCTCACCCACCATCCCACTCACACACCCACAGACTCACCCATCCACTCACACACCCACAGACTCACCCACCCATCCACTCACTCATTCAACCACCTATCCACTCACACGTTCACTAGCGTAGTGGTCAGCGTGCTGCGCTACTAACCCGACCACCCGAGTTCGATTCCCGATCACGGACCAACATGGGGCCCGCGAGATAACCGAGAGACGTCGATGATAACAAGCAGAGCCATTTTTATTTTTCGAATTAGGTAAAAAAAAAGCATTTATCTCAAGAGCCACAATGCACTGCGATGATGAATCACGGGACGGCGTTCCCGTCGTGAATATCGGGTCACGGTGCGGTCCTTGAAGGCCCCCGTGCAGCTGCGGACCACGGGTTTGCCAACCCCCCCCCCACCCGGTCTTGACCTCTCTGAGGCGGTCTCCTCCTCGTCACATCTCGGGCGGTCGCTCCGGGTCCGGGTCCGTGCGATGAGGGCCCGAAGACCGATCGGACGGCGAAGGGCCTCGCTCTGCTGCGCGAGTTCAGGATATGCGAGTGTCGATATATTGGCGAGCCTCACTAAACGTGCAGCGATTCACTATTCACGAGCCTCACTAAACGTGCAGAGATTCACTATTCACGAGCCTCACTAAACATACAGAGATTCACTATTCACGAGCCTCACTAAACATACAGTGATTCACTATTCACGTGCCTCACTAAACGTACAGCGATTCACTATTCACGAGCCTCACTAAACATACAGAAATTCACTATTCACGTGCCTCACTAAACATAGAGATTCACTATTCACGTGCCTCACTAAACATACAGAGATTCACTATTCACGAGCCTGACTAAACATACAGAGATTCACTATTCACGAGCCTCACTAAACATACAGAGATTCACTATTCACGAGCCTCACTAAACATACAGTGATTCACTATTCACGAGCCTCACTAAACATACAGAGATTCACTATTCACGAGCCTCACTAAACATACAGAGATTCACTATTCACGTGCCTCACTAAACATACAGAGATTCACTATTCACGAGCCTCACTAAGCATACAAAGATTCACTATTCACGAGCCTCACTAAACATACAGAGATTCACTATTCACGAGCCTCACTAAACATACAGTGATTCACTATTCACGTGCCTCACTAAACGTGCAGTGATTCACTATTCACGAGCCTCACTAAACATACA